CCTGCTTGATCTTAAGGTCAGGCAAATTTTCCCGCGGTCTACTTTGCACTTATAGTCAGTAACATCTCACCCGGACCTATTACTTGCTTCTTTAAATAGCTGAATCTCCATCAGCGATGATCTGTTGAAGATGGCGGCAAAACACGAAGCTCTCCACCTTTCCCTCGCCGGTTCCAGAGGCTATTTTGGGGTCAGAGTGTCGGCTACCGCCAGCTCCCTTTTCCCAAAAGTTCACCTCTCAGTGGCCACCCCTCCAGGGTGGCATTTGGTCCTAGCGGGCCCGCCAGCGAACGAAATTCAGACCCTAAGCACGGAGCGTCCATGTCCCAGGGTCTAACCCAACGACATTTTCCGTCAAAATTCTCTATTTCTAACATGCATGGTTGATCTTATTTGGGAAGAATTGGGTAGAGGGGGAGTTTCAGTTGTTATGAGGGTAAGAAATTAAAATATCTGACACCAGGAGACTTTGGAGAAATCACCACCACTCTAGCGGGCAAACATCTGTGTTTGCCATTTTGCTGGTGTTGGGAAGGTTAACTTTCTCCTGTTTTCCCAGGCAAGAGTTTGTGGCTTACATTTTCCAATCTTGCTGATGATGGGCAGCTAAATCTGTTCATTCCAGGTGTACAAGCAGGGAGGGAGTAGCGTGGGGCTGAATCAGAGCGAAGTTCCTGACTCAGCTTGTCCTGGCTTGGGAGAATGCTTGGGTGGGCAGGGAAAGGGGAGAGCCATGGCCAACTACCAGATGAAGTGAGTCAGGTTAACATTGTGAAGTTTCACAGGATGCCAAGTGACCTGTGTGCTAATCCCAGGAATAGCCCAGATATTCCATTTGTCAGCCAATCAGCAGATGCCAGGTTACTCCTCCTCCGAAGAAGCTTTTCTGGCTGGCAGTGAGTCAGTTCTTCTGCCCCCGGCAGAATCCGACCCAAGATCACTTTTCCCTGACAAGTTAAACTCATTGATTAATTGCAAGGTCCCTGCATAATGAATCCAGAGAGATTATGCTGTCATCTCGTGAAAGATTGCGAAGTTGGAATTGATTGATTGACCTTTTTTTCCTCAAAAAAAATTCTTTTCCTTGCACGTGGCAGCGGTGATGGATTGCGAAGAAGCAACGGCACGGGGCTGAAAGTCAGTTAAGGAAAGAAAGGCAATTTCTGGGGGGGGAGCGAGGTGTTCTTTCCTTACCTGCCCCACTTGTTCAGAGGCCACTATCCGCTCAGACGCGTTGCTCTTGCCAATGGCCCGACCACCCACTTCAGCGCCTTCCCTTCCCGAGCCTCCAGCACTCCACTTGCTGCTTTGGTGGCTCTATAGGCAAAGCTGCAAAGTTCTCTTCTCTGACAGAGAACTTTGCAGCTCTGCCTACAGAACCACCAAAGCTTTAGCTAAATGGGCAGGTCAGGGGGAAACCTGCCCCATTTGTTCCACGGCCGCTTTCAGCCGAGCCACATTGCCGCAGCACTGGGCGCAATACGCGAGGTAGCAAATAGCTGCATCACGCTGAAACCGGCCGTTTGCTGCCTCCTGCCCAATGTCACTGCCATGAGGCCGCGGAACAAGCTGGGCGGTGGTAAGAAACCGGTATACTGGTTCCTTACCTCCGCCCGGCTTATTCTGCGGCCTTATGGCAGTGGCATTGGGTGCAACGCATAAGGCGGCAAACAGCCATGTGGTGCCTTCGTGCCGGGCATCTTTTGCAGTGAGTTTCTGGAAAGATTTGCGATGGGGGTGGGTGCAACGCGCGAGGTGGCAAGTGGCCGTGGCCGGAGGTAAACAGCTACATCATGCTGAAACTGGCTGTTTGCCGCCTCCTGCCCAGTGCCACTATCATGAGGCCATGGAACAAGCCGGGCGGCAGTAAGAAACCGGTATACCGGTTTCTTACCTCTGCCCGGATTGTTCCGCAGCCTCATGGCAGCCGCATTGGGTGCGACACGTGAGGCGGCAAAAAGCCATGTGGTGCCGAAACCGAGGGGCCTGCAGGCTGTGGCTGCTGGACACAGTTGGCCCCCATGCGCTTGCTGTGTGCGGGTGCCGATGGCCCGGGCCCCTGCCTCACCTTGTCTTGTGGCAATGGCACCCCTGCCCTGCCCCCTGACTCACCTCACCTCACCCCCAGGACGAGCCTCCTGCCTACCATCCCACCCGCCAGGGACTCCCTGGATCTCCCACAACCCTGCCTGGCTCCCATAGGCGTCCCTCCCCACAAGCAACATCGAGGTAGCCACGCCTACCCCGGCCATCCCACCCAGTCTGCCGTGACCATCCCGGCCACGCCCAACCAATTGGCCACATCCACCCAATGGGCCATGCCCACCCGGCACCAGACGATACATAAGTGAGTTTTGGGTTGCAGTTTAGGAATTTGGTCTCTAAATGGTTCCCCATCACTGCTCTAGTGATTCATCAGTATGCTTCCTTATTTCCTCGTGTACTTACCTAGAGAAACTGATCAATGCTGCAGCTGCTGTGTTGCAAATTACTACCCATGTAAACCTCACAGCCACAAAACCTCTCTGAATGAGATGGATGGTTTCAAAAATTTAATAAATACAAAATAAATAAAAGGGAAAGCCCAACAATCTAGACACTAAAGAAGACAGAAACTGATGGCATTAGGCACCCTAGGCACCCTATCCAACTGATGGCATTCGGCACCGAATCCCTTAATTCAATTCCCCTCACTACTTTTCACTAAGAAAATCACAACCTCCCGCTTCAATTGGCTGCGTCAGGTAATTCTTTCCAAAAGGCGTGAATTTCAGGTTGAGCAGTAGTCTCCATGGTCAAGCCACAATTAATAATCATGAGGATCAAAATAGTAGAAAATAGTATTTTTGGACTCCTCAATTGTATGAAACTATAGTGGGGGAAATGAAGGGGAGGGGGAAATTTGTTCCACTTCCCATCTACCTTCTCCTGATCTTTAGTGCAGAGGCTGAGGCCAAAATTCAGGCAATGAAAAGAAGAAAGTGTACCCAGTCTCTTCCCTGTTCCCCTCCCCATCTGCTCCACAAAGTAGAGCAGACAAAAAAACCAATGCCACATTATTGTAACAGTTATAGTAACAGGATCATGCAAGTCTGAAATGTTCCCTAACCTTATTTTCATTTGAACTAGGGAGGGGCATGTCTCAGATGTTTCTTGGCCTGGGTCTCAATGCTGCAACAGACTTAAGTGTGAAAAATGGTCATAAGTCACTTTTTTCACTGCTGTTGTTACTTCAAACAGTCACTAAACCAGTGGTTCTCAACCTGTGGGTCGGGACCCCATTTGGGGTCGATTGACCATTTCATGGGGGTCGCCAAGCAAAGCTGTCCGCCATTTGTTTTGTCCGCCATTTTTTCCCCCCTTTTCCGGCGGGTGCCTTACCTCCCTTGGGCTGGGCCAGCTGGTGGTCGGCCTGCTCCGTCTCTGATGCTTGCCAGCTACGCCTCGGCCGGCACAGGGGGCAGAACCACGCATGTGCGGCGCTCCCGGGCAGGGAAAGTCCTCGACTTACGACCGGTTGGGTAGTCCTCAACTTACGACCGGTTTAGTCCTCAACTTACGACCGGTTTAGTCCTCAACTTACGACCGGTTTAGTCCTCGACTTACGACCGGTTGGGGGTTGCGGCATTAAAAAGGTTGAGAACCACTGCACTAAACAAATGGTTATAACTAGTGGACTAACTGCATGAAACAAAACCCTCGAAAGTGTGCATAGAAAAACAATAAAGATGATAAAGGGTCTGGAGGTAAAATTGTACAATGAATAGTTGGGGGAGTTAGGCTTATTTAGTCTATTGAAGAGAAGGATTAGGGGGTACATGATAGCTGTCTTCCAGTACTTGACAGGCTGTCACAAAGAAGAGGGAATTGACTTATTCTACACCGCACCAGAGGGCAGGACAAGAAGTAATACAGTAAGTCAGGGGTCTTCAAACTTGGCCCTTTTATGACTTCTGGACTTCAACTCCCAGAATTCCTCAGCTAGCATGCCTGGCTGAGGAATTCTGGGAATTGAAGTCCACAAGCCATAAAAGGACCAAGTTTGAAGAGCCCTGCAGTAAGTGGAAGCCTGTCAAAGAGAGATCCAACCTAGAAATAAGGGGGAAAACATTTCTGACAATGAGAGGAATTAATCAGTGGAATAGCTTGCCTCCTGCAGTTGTGGATGCTTTTTCGCTGGAGATTTTCAAGAATAGATCAGACAATCATTTGACTGGGGTGGTGTAATGCTTGTGTCTTCAGCTGGGGGTTGAACTAGAAGACTCTGAACTCACTTCCAGCCCTATGATTCTATGAAGGTCAAACTTAAGCTAAAAAAGAAAGCCAGCCAGTTTCCACAATATGTTCCTGAAGGTATATCTACTTCAGACGAATCAGCCGGCTATTTGGGTTTGCCTTCCGCTCAGGCTGCTGTTGGGGCCTGCGGGCGTAGATAGCCTGGCTCGCTCACCGACCTCGCTCCGAAGTATCACGAGCCGAACCTGCCCGGGCTAAGCGCCCGCCCAACCCACTATTGAAGGCAGGAGAAGGTCATCTCACCTTGTCCATCGTTTGCCAAGGAAGAGGCCACGCAGAACAGTGCCAGAGAAAAAAGAGAAATGACCGCGAGTGGGGAACTCTGGTTAATCATCCTGGCAAGGAAGAAAATGGCGGCCTCTTTTCCCGCTCGCCATCCGCAGCAGAGGAGGCTGGAAGGAACTAGCGAGGCGGTTGAAGCGGGCCAAGGAAAAGGGTTTCGCGCGCCCTCCCACAACATTCTTGGAACTCGGCCTCCAACAGGCTTCGACGACACGTGAAATGTCTGGGTTTTGGACCAGGGGAACAGAAAGGGGGAGAGGTTTTGATCCGCTTCCCTGTTGTCGGAATGCGATTCTAATCCGCGTGAAGTAATCAATTTATACGCCGTTTATATTCCTGTATTTTTTTAATAAGCATGAAATTGGTGAATGGAATTAACAGATGAGGAAGGAGACGGAGTTATAGGGATCCATGATGGACGGTTAATCTTTTCCTCGATAATGGCGCGGCTGAACCTCATTAGCTGCCATTAAGCGCAGGCAACTCTGAGTGGTGGTTTCTTTCATGTAAGATTTCTGTATTATGAAGGAAAAGGAAGCTTGACAGATACTGTTGTGTATATATTATAAGAAGGGTAAATAAATAAATATATTTATAGCCTAGGCCCTAGACCCATATTTGGTCTTTAATTTAAACTTGAGGCAATGTACATACAGTAGTGCTTCGTCCTCCCATTTTTCTCACCACAACCCTGCACAGCAATCTTTGGTTGGGCTGAGGGTAAATGATGGCCCCAAACTCACCCACTGAATTTCTATGGCTCAGAGTGATCCTGGAAACTGGGTCTCCAGGTTCCATTCTGAGACCTTAACCACAACATTCTGAGATGGGATGGGACAAAAACCAATTATTGTTGGTTTTTTTTAAAAGTTTTATGCCTGTGAAATACATCAGGATTAGCAATAACCCTACACTGGGAATTCTTTGCCCAAATATCTGAAGGTCATGATATTGGGAAAAACTGTTTTAAGATGCTCCCCAAGGGGGTCTCCAGGCCAGTCACATGTCTCCTCTTTTCCCAAGGGACTTATTGACTTTCTCTTCACCCCTTTGTCCAGTTCTGTGCTCCTCGCCAAGCCAGAAGCAGAGTATTTTCTCCAATCCTGAAAATGCTTTGCGTCTTCATTTTTGGCAGGCAAACTTGCCAGTGCTTCCATGGAACTGACACACCAGTTCTTGCAGGTCTGAGTTTAGAGATGTAAGCAAGATTGAGACATTTCAGTCATCAATAGGGTAGAGAAAACACTCCAGCCAGATCCCCAGTGTGCACATAGGGGAGGGGGGAGCACAAGAGTTATAAAGGAGTTAATGTAGCAAATTTTAAACTTGGTTCACGGGGAGAGCAGACATTTTTATGGGTGCTGTTTTGCCTTCTCAATAATGTGTAGGGTTAACTGAGGTAGGATGAATGTTTTTCTTTGTAGTCAGAACAGAATTGTATGTCCCTATGACTTACATGATATATAGCTCTTACAACTATGAATGGGAAGATGAAAGGCCTGGCACCATCTCAGAAGTGAGAGATTTCAAGAACTGTAATTATCTCTTTCTCTCTCTCTCTCTCTCTCATTTTTGGCTTGTCCAATGGAAGGGATTGCATAAAACAAGCAAGCATAGACAGATGTCTTTGGCTTTCATCACATATACTCAGGAGTTCTGAACCTTCATGGCCAATGGGCACATTTGGACTTTTGAGAGCATATCATGGGCATTCTCCCCACCCCCCACCCCAGGGCTGCCATGATGGGTGTATCCAATCAGAAAGCTTCCATGAACAAGAAAGGAACTTCATGAGGTTCTTCCCCCTTGTTCCTATTCCCCTCCTGAATACATTCAACCACCCTGGTTTTCCTTTGACTTTTTTTCTGAGCTCCTTTGTAAACCAAGCATTGGGTTGCAGCTACCCATCACTCTATTTTTTTTTCCTTTTGAGGCAGTGTTTTGCTGTAGCTGTGACTATCTTTCCTTTAAAATAAATAAATAAAACAAAAGGCATATTTTTTATAAAAAAAATTGTGATGGCCAATAAATTAAAGTGAGGGGAGGAATGTTTGAAAAAAGGGACTTATTTGAGGAGCATTTCAAGTTATCGGTGTGCATAAAAATCTTAGGCAACTATAGGTCTTATGGTGATAGCCAGAGATTTGCACTCAGAGACTATCCTAGGTTTCAGGATGGCCCCTTTGGGCTAAGCCTATAATGTATTTGATTCAATTATTTGTTACTCTGACATCCTCTCTTTCATTCAGGACTTCAAGGAGGCCTTCCTGGATCCTCCCCAGAGGTACAGAATCCTATACTTTCATGAACATGACCAAAGCAGGGCTGTGGTGTTGCAGTGCAAGCTTTGCACATGTATGTCCCAAAGGGGCAGAGCTTGCATTGCAACAGTACAGTACCACTTTCTTCACTCCAGTCTAGCTGTTATAGGGATCCATGATAGACGGTTAATCTTTTCCTCGATAACGGCCCAGCTGAAGCCCATCAGCTGCCATTAAGCGCAGACAACTGAGTTGTGGTCTCGTTCATGTAAGACAGATTTCTGTATTATGAAGGAAAAGGAAGCTTGACAGATACTGTTGTGTATACCTAAGAAGGGTAAATAAATAAATGTATTTATAGCCTAGACCCATATTTGGTCTTTAATTTAAACTTGAGGCAATGTACATACAGTAGTGCTCCGTCCTCCCATTTTTCTCACCACAACCCTGCACAGCAACCTTTGGTTGGGCTGAGGGTAAATGATGGCCCCAAACTCACCCACTGAATTTCTATAGCTCAGGGTAGGCCTGGAAACTGGGTATCCAGGTGCTAGTCTGAGACCTTAATTACAACATCACACTCTCATTCACTCTTCTGGGCAACTGAATACACCCATTAAATATTCTGAATAAATCTGCATATTACTTGACTGAAGGCTGGGTTTGTGTCAAAAAGGAGAATGTAAAGATGCTTTTACATCAAGATCAATTACTAGTTATTGCCACACAGAGATGCTGACCCAACTTTCTTGGTAACAGTACAGAAGTGGCATGCCATTATTTTCCTCCATATGTTTTTCCTGAAATGTAGATCTGGCCTTGGGAAGAAAGCAGTGAATAGTTAAAGGAGAAGAACTCAGCAACTCAATCCTTCCATAGAGGGATATATGAGAAAGAAACTCAAAGTAACCCCCATCTTGATTTTTTTATATAATATGGGGCAAAAAGAAAGCCTGAGAGGCTTTCTATCCTACAACAATAAAGAGCATTCATAGAGTTTATTACAGATGAAAATACATGTTTTAATATATCAATGAGCAAATTAAAATTATAAACTATTGTTAAATAATATTTTTTTCAGAAATAATGAGATTGCAAGAGGATTCACTGTATTTAAAAAGCAATCTGATATATTTATAGCACGTCAAAAAGCAAGTTTGCTGCTTCATACAATTAGTTGGAAAATGTTCCACACCACAGCCAAAAAAAGAATGTGTTGAATCCTCACAGTGTTTGTTTCGCTAAGTTGTTTTTTCACCCAGAACATGTACTTAGGCAAATTAGTGTAAATTCCTGGAAATTTTGGTCGGCCACAGCCAATACCATAGCTGGTGATTCCTACAATGTAGTATTTAGAGTCTGATAAATAACATACCAGAGGTCCACCACTGTCTCCCTGAAAAATAAAAAAGATAACAGTAAGTAGTGACTTATATTATTTAAAAGCATGCATGCATAAAGGCTATCCCTCCTCCTATTTAGTTTTCTAGTGAAAATACAGCAGCCAAGTATCTTCAGTGACATTCAGACTTCTGATGCTATAAGCCCAATATGGCAAACTGAGAACAAAGAATTAGGTCTTCCTCATGGCCACATTAATGTGCATTCCTCCCATCCTTGAGTTAGTAAGAAAGTGCTGTCCCCACAGTAGAGCCCAACTTAGGCTGAGAATAGTTTCTCTTCTTACAGATTTAATCTGCAAGAAGCAGTTCTTTGAAGAAGAGACATTATTTTGTTTTCATAAGTTACTTCTGCTTTATTTCCATTGAAATCCATAGGATAAATTAGTCATTGCTAACTTAAATCCCACTCAGAGTGAAAACGTTATTTGGTTGAGCTCTAAAATAGCAAAAGCAGTAGTAATTGATCTTTTATCTCAATTCAAAAATATCCCACATATAAAATTCTGAAATTGTATTAGTTTTACTTTTCTTTTCTGACATTTCCTATCTGTTTCAATGCATCTGTAAATTGTTAATCTAGTAAACCTAACTGGAAATTAAGTGAACATGTTTTGAGATAGATCTATGTCCATTTACCTGACAGGTATCAACATCCCCAGTTTCAGAGCCAGCACAAAAAGCAGTATCTGGTACTGATCCTGCATGCCAGTCATATCGATTGCAAATGTCTAGTGAAAAAATTCTTAGCTGTGCTTCTTGTAATGTGAAGCTGCCTCTAGCTGTAAGGAAAACAATAGCTTTTATTTATTTATAATTTGCAACAAGAACTATATAAAAATGCTGAATACCAGCTATTGTCTGCAGATCAGTAATGCAACATTGGGAGAATATCATTTAACCTTGAATATGCCTCATTATATCTTCTAATGTGTAGCTATTAATTCAGAAATCTATGTTTGAACAATACTCCATAACACAGTAATTTTGATACATATACACATACACAGAAAGTTGATTGTGTGCAAAATCTATTATCTAGTGTTACGACTAAAGCAAACAATTGAAAAACCATTTGTTATTTAGAAAACTACAAAAACATGCAAATTTGATATTTATACAAATTCATAGAATCTGCAGTTTTATAAAATCCATTGATTCTATGATGCAAATAAGAACTTGCAACGGTGAGCAATTCTGACATATCCTTGTGTTGATAGCACTATCTGTGGATGAGAAAAAAGTGTTTTCAACACTGCCACTTCAGAAACACCAATCATTACTTCCTTGTGCTTACTGGAAAAGATTTTTGGTTTGTTCTTCCAAGTTTCTGATAATCCATTAGAGAAAAATATTGTCATGATTGAGTAATCCAAGTGAAGAACACACTAGTTAGTATTAGGAAATTTGAAATTTCCTTTTTTGTGACAAAAGAGAATAAACATGTTTAGGCATAGCCTGAGGGAAGGGATGAGGTGCTCTGTTAATGGTTGACAAGAAAGCATGGCTGACAGTTACCTGCATTTTTGGTTTTTTTACCAGAAAGTACAAGTACTGATTACCTGGTGGGTCTTTGTAAGCTCTATAAAAGGCATGTAAAGATATATGTGTTCAGGGCTTGCTGATATCAACTTAGCCATTATTCCATGGAGGGAATCAGACATCCTTTCCAATGAGGGATATAAAGTATCCTCACAGCAGTTAGCATATGCAAAGCCAATTCAATAGATGTAAAATATAAGGCTTAGCAAACAGGTCTGTAAACTACTAACTGCAAACAGTTAGCACACCAGTTTTATCTAAGTATATTTGGTATAAATGTAATCTTCCAATGAAATGTCCATTTCATATCTATTACTACAGGTAGTCCTTATTTAGCAACTGACTTGGATAGCAATTGTTCAGCGTTGCAGTGCTGACAAAGTAATTTTGTGACCAATGCCCACATTTATAACCTTTGCAATATCTCCTCTGAGTCAAGTTCCCCAATAAAATCCATTAAGACAAGTATTGTGCCTGACCCCCCTTTCTCTCCTTTTTTCTCCCACTCACATAGTTGAGAGATTGCCTAAACAAGTTCTTTTTTCCTGAACTGCTTTTTTCCCAAGCACAAGGCTTTCCTGAAAAGCGTTAACTACAAGTTAACAAGCTCAGCTTTGTGAGCTTACTTAGTTTATTATTACCTGTTGCCAACTTGTGCTCCCACCTGAAATAGACTTTAATCAGTTTCACACTGAAGGCTTTTTTCACTCTTAGGCTTGGTAGCATGCTAGGCAAACAGCTAAGGTTGGTGCATTCCTTGATGTATATTCCCAATGTTGTGCCTGCTTACTCTCTTGTAATCTCTTCCTTTTCAATAAATGTATATAAAAACATTCTCTTCTTACTAATTATCCCAGTGAGCATTCAAAAGGGTGGGGTAGTGGGGAAAAAGGGTTATAGGATTTGCCCCTTAACCCAGCTTACTCATGAGTCAAATTTCAAATGGCATGCAAACAGATCATCCTTAAAGATTGGTATCCAGGAAAGGAAGTGAGTAAAAATTATCTCATATCTTACATTGTTTATATCAGATCTTCCCATCCTATTATTTTCCAGAAGTAGTAGATAAAACTCCCATTATATCCAGCTACCATGGCTCTGTGTGTGTGTGTGTGTGAGTGTGTATACTGTACATTTGAAAATACTGAAATGCAAGTCTCTATGAAGTATGTCTAACTGAGAATAGTATCCAAAAGTAGCTCCCTTCTGATTGTACTTTGTTTTCTCTGTGTGTAATGTGAGAAAGAGAGAAACAGTTGACTGTAGTGGTTAAAAGCACCAAGTTCATAACCGAGAGACCGAGTTCTAGTCCCACCTTAGGCGTGAAGCCAGCTAAGGGACATTGAGTGAGTCATTCTCTCTCAGCCCTAGAAATAAAACAATGGCAAGTCACTTCTGAAAATATAGTTGCCACGTAAACTGCACGGATTTGTCCAGGCAGTCACCAGCAGTCAAAATGATTTGAAGGTTTCCCCATGAGAAAAATGTTATTCTCAGTGCAGATAAACTTTCGGAGATCACTAAACTCATTTTCACTTTTAACAGTAGGTTACTTTAAAGCAAAAGTAAAACACTTACTTTTTTCTTTTTTCATTCCCCACCCACTTATAAAACATGTCATATCAGAAGTCAAGGCAAGAGTAAAGTTAGGCAAGCAGACGGGCTGAACATAGGAATTAAATGTGATAGGTTTGCTTAGATGAAACACAGCAATGTCATCTTTGTATCTTGTTGAGTCATAGAAATAATGGATCTTGATGGCCCGAACGCGTCTTTTTATAGTGTATGTTTTATGTCTGAAAAGATGATGCAAGCCAATCACAGCCCTCCACATCTCTGGAAGCCTAGGAAAAAATAAAGTATCTTTAAAAATAGTAATTATTATGTAAATATAATTTCAGAGAGATGAAATTGTTTCTTATTTCAAAATCTGTGCATGGCTAATAAGCATGGAGCCAGATTTTATTCATATGATGACAAAATGGCAGACTGTGATAGAAAATACAACTGATGTAAATAGTCATTTAAACTGATCTAAAAATGTACCATTTGCAAAATCAGATTCAAACCATTTACTGCAATATTCCTAATTCAAGAATTCTCAAATAATGTATCTGAAATTTATTATTTAAATAAATTTTATATAGGCAACTGTCTCACAGCAGTGACGCTAGGCAGCGAACAAAAGATTATAAACCAAAACAACCAAAGACCATCAATATAACATATGCCTAAGATCTAAGAATATATATTCACAGTTAGTTTAAAAAACAACCACCAACCCAATCAACAGCAGAGATGCTTAACATTTTGGCCCCAATGCCTAAGGGGACAACCAGGTTTAACTGCCTTGTGACAGACTAACAGAGTTGGTTCCATCTGGACTTCCAGAGAGATGTGCTCTACGGGGCAGGTGCTATTACAGAGAGGGCACAACTTCTGGCTCCCATGACACTGCTCAGTAGAAGGAGTCAGAGCATGTCCATCCTGTTAACTCTGGTAGGGCAAGCAGAAACAATTGGCCCTGTGCCATGTTAAACTTTATAGGTAGTAACCAGCACTTTGAATTATACCTCAAAGCTTCTTGAAAGCCAGCGCAGTTCACACTGCAGCAGTGTTGTGTAACCTGAAACACCTAAAACTACCCATATTGTTTTATTTTACACATTCTGAACAAATGCTTTGGAAAGGTAGCTCCATGTAGAGTGCATTACAGCAATCCAAACAGTAGGTAGATCTGAATTTCTATGAATAGGGCCTCCTATTCCTTTTCCTCCAGAAAAGAACTCAATTGGTACATGAGATGAACCTATCTAAAGGGCCCACTTGGTCACATCTACCACAGGCTCTCTGAAAAGGAATCAGAGTGCAAGAGATTTCCCAAATTGTTCACTAGCTCCAACTCTGGGAGTGTAACCCCTTTCAGAGTGAAAATATTTGGATCCAATGGCTCCAATATCCACAACTGCTTAGTTTTGCTAGAAGACTTCAGAACAAAGCTGAAACCTGTTCTTCCCTATCCAGACTCCAAAGCCTATAGACACCATGAAAGAACCTCAGTGGCATCACTTATCAATCCAAGGCAGAAAAGTATAGTTGGATATCATCAACATTCTGATGATGCCTTACCACATGTTGATGGATGACCTCCCCTGAGGGGTTTCATGTAGATGTTAAACAGGAATGGAGAGATTGGACCCTGAAGGAACTCCACAAAGTAGGAGCGTTAGTCTTTACTAGCCCTGGAGAAAGTAGGAGAACCACACCAACATAGTGCCTCCCTAATCCAAACCTCCTGAGCTGTTCCTGAAGGAAACCATGGTTGATAGCACTGAAGACTGTTGAGAAATCAATATGGGCCAGGATAAATTCATGACCCATCAGAGGGAATCAATAGGCACATCCAATACCATCCCAGTGCTTCAACCAAGTCTGAATTCTGAGTGAAAAGATAATTTCCTTCCTCCTGAGCTGCAATGCAATTGTATTCTCTGAAAAAATAAAGTTGGAGATTGGATTGAATTTGTCCAGTTCCTCTGGGTCCAGCATGGGCTTCTTGAGAAAAGGGTACACTGCTTTCAAGAACAGCAGAACCACTCCATCTCATAAAGAAGCATTGACCGCCAGATGGACCCCACTACATTACCTTCCAGAAGGACTTAGCCAGTCATGAGAGACATAGATCTAAAACACAGATAGCCATATTAATAGCTCTGAGGATCCTGTTTGTTTTATCAGGCTAACAGGTTCAAACTCTTCCCAGCTAATCAGTTAAGACTGTGCTCAGGAAACTCCATAGGACAGTGATGGCGAACCTTTTAGAGACTGAGTGCCCAACTGCAACCCAAAACCCACTTATGCATTGTCGAGTGCCGGGTGGGTGTGGCCCATTGGCTGGGTGTGGCCAATTGGGTGGGCGTGGCCAATTGGGTGGGAATGGCTGCAGTGGTAACGGCAGACTGGGTGGGACTAAAAAGTTCAATCAATCAATTCCAACTTTGCAAGAACTTTTTTTTTCCCGCGAGAAGTTGAAATTGACTGATTGAACCTTTTTTTTTTTTGCACACGGTGGCGGAGGCCTAAAGCGAAAAGGTTTTATAAAACCCAGCTGAAGGCCTAGGACTGGGGTGACGGCGCGTGTGCCCACAGAGAGGGCTCTGAGTGCCGCCTCTGGCACCCATGCCATAGGTTCGCCACCACTGCCATAGGACCTATACAGTTCTACCTTCTCCAATAGATGCCAAAAACATTCCCAGAGCAACCCTGTAAATGTTTCCCTGTCTCTTTGTCCACAATTTACTGGGCAACTTTTGTGGAGTCAACAAGGGTGGAAAATCACATATGATTTGCTACTTTTACTGTTACCAAGTAGGAAACATATGCACAGAAAATTGGGGCCGGGGAACTACCAGAACGTAATCTAATTTTATAATTCCCAAGGAGACTCTATGCAGGTGCAGAATCAAATATGTACAGGAAAAAGGACAATAAAAAGACAATACCAAATATTTTCTTTTAACTCTGGAATTGTGTTAAAAGTTTGTATCATTCTCAGTTCACTTTTAAAATAGACCCTTATTCATTTAAATTATTAAGTCCTGTTTCTTCTCCTTACCACATATGAGCATGAAGTGAGATACAATCTATTTGTTTCATAAATATGAATTCATTCTAGCCAGTTCTTGCTATATTTTCTCTCCATATTATATTGTAATATGATAGGGATTTATCATAACTAATTGTGGCCAACATAAGGTAACACACATTTAACCATATCTTTACTTCAAAGCAGATGATATGCAATCTGAAGATGGAGATCATTAATATCGGTCCTTTGCCATAATTAGATCACTTTCTCATCAAACTGCATGTCACAAATGCTCTGGATCCTTATGAGGATGGCAAAATTGTCAGGATTGTTTTGCTAAGCATCTGATTCAGTGGTGGCGAACCTATGGCACATGTGTCAGAGGTGGCACTCAGAGCCCTCTCTGTGGGCACGCATACCATCGCTGCCAGCAGCTTGCGCAGATCCATTAGGCCGCCCCTGCCGCCCAGAGCAGCAGCCCCACCAGGCCCAAAGGAGGCGAAGCAGCCAGCTAGCAAGATTGAGTAGAGATGGTAGAGCATGCCCACACCCAGCAAGCCAAAGGCCACCCCAAGCAGGGAAAGCTGGATCCTCATCGGCGCCATGGCCCCCCAGTCCCAGCTAGGATTGCGTGCCTCTCCCCCATCTATGCTGGGCCTCCTGCCCACTGCCCCATCTGCCAGAGACCCCCTGGATCTCCCCCAACCCTGCCTAGCCCCCGCAGGCATCCCCTCCATGAGCAACATCGAGGTGGCCATGCCCACTCCAGCCACGCCCACCCAGTCTGCCATGACAACCGCAGCCATGCCCACCCAGTGGGCCACGCCCCCATGCCCTTTCCCTGAGGGCACCACAATGCTGATTTGGCCCTGACACTTTTGCGATAAATAAGTGGGTTTTGGGTTGCGGTTTGGGCACTCTGTCTCTAAAAGGTTCGCCATCACTGATCTAATTGATCAAGGGTTCCAGACGGGTTTGGGAGATTTTCTTGGCAATTTGGCAAGCAGTAACATTATGGACATAGTTAATCAGTCAAAAACAGAGGCAAGCAGAGTACTAGATGAAATTGCTCCAGTGCAGCCTCTGCCTAGTTACCAATTCCTGGCAATTCCTTCATTTAATTAGGTACATAGGCAAATGAAGCAACTGAAAAGATAGCTAGAGCAATGGTTCCTCTCTCCTCCCTCTCCCACAAAAAAAGTTATCATTAAGTATAAGCTCAGGTTTCAGGCTACCCAATGTTTCAGGCTAACATAATGTTTTCCCCCTCTTGTGCTTATTGTATCCACAGATTCCCATCTAGTGGTCTGTTCAGAGTAACGAAGATCCTTTTAGGGAAAGATGGGTGGGACAGAGTAACTCTATACATGTCAAAGTAATATATGCCAAAGTACTTGGGCTGGACATAGTCTATAGTGGACAAAGGCTGTAGCGGGCTGGACATAATCTATGGTGGACAAAGGCTGTAGTGGGGAACAAGACAGAAATAATAATTTCTGTATAATAATCTGGTATTTTTTGAGTTTCTAGAACACAAGGATGTGAACAGGATTTTCTAGAGTTTGAATTCTGCCACTTGCAGTCTTGATTCATGTTTTCCTTTGGATGGCCAGGTGGAGTGTGAATGGCTGTATCTGGGAGATATTTAATGCTTTTTTGGAACAGGGCATATTACCATCTATAGACCTCTTGGTGGCTTACAGTATCAAATCAAATCACTATTAGTTATATATGTTTGAGTTTTATTGTTCACTGCCCAGAGTCTATTTGGATTTGCTAATAAATAACAATAATAATAAATAACAATAACCTGAGTTAAGTTTGGAAAAGCTTTGTGACTTACGCATAAATCTAAAAAAACACAAAGACATTCTTCGTATCTCTATATTCCTGAAATTCCTACCTTAAATGGAGCTTATCTTCATATACATTTTTAGAAATAGTGCTTTAAAAATATTATTACGTACTGCAGATACTTGTGGAGAAGCCGAAAATCTTAGGTGCCAAAATACACCTAAAAATTGCACTCAGCTTATCCTTTGATGGCTTTTATGTGGGCATATACCAGGGGTCTTCAAACTTGGCCCTTTTATGACTTGTGGACTTCAACTGCCAGAATTCCTCAGCAAGCGTGCCTGGCTGAGGAATTCTGGGAGTTGAAGTCCACAAGCCATAAAAGGGCCAAGTTTGAAGACCCTTGGCATATACAGTAAAAACTTTTCACAAGCACCTGTCTATACCTGCAGATAAGTCCATTTATGATTAAGTAGATCCTTGAATTCTTAACAAAAACACGATGAAAAATGTGGGTTGGTACATTTTTATGGTATTTTGGATAAAAATAGTAATAGTAATAGTAAGTAAAGTTGGAAGGGATCTTAGAGGTCATCTAGTCCAACCCCCTGCTCAGGCAGGAAGCCCTATATCATTTCGGACAAATGGCTGTCCAGTCTCTTCTTAAAAACCTCCAGTGTTGGAGCATTCACCACTTCTGGAGGCAGGTTGTTCCACTGGTTAATTGTTCTAACTGTCAGGAAGTTTCTCCTTAGTTCTAGGTTGCTTCTCTCTTTGATTAGTTTCCACCCATTGCTTCTTGTCCTGCCTTCAGGCGCCTTGGAAAATAGCTTGACACCCTCTTCTTTGTGGCAGCCCCTGAGATATTGGAACACTGCTATCATGTCCCCCCTCGTACTTCTCTTCATTAAACTAGACATACCCAATTCCAGCAACCGTTCCTTATATGTTTTAGCCTCCAGTCCCCTAATCATCTTTGTTGCTCTTCTCTGTACTCTTTCTAGAGTTTTTTACATCGCGGTGACCAAAACTGGATGCAGTATTCCAAGTGTGGCCTTACCAAGGCATTGTAAAGTGATATTAACATTTCACGTGATCTTGATTCTATCCCTCTGTTAATGCAGCCCAGCACTGTGTTGGCCTTTTCGGCAGCTGCACCACACTGCTGGCTCATATTTAGGTGATTGTCCACTAGGACTCCGAGGTCCCTCTCAGTTACTACTATTGAGCAAGGTACCCCCTATACTATATCTGTGCATTTGGTTTTTCTTACCTAAATGTAGAACCTTGCTTTTTTCACCATTGAATGTCATTTTGTTAGATATTTACAAGTATATACAGTATTATTGTGAGAACACCCTTAAAAAACCCCCAAAGCCCTGATAATGCAGATGAAAACACACATCGACTGAATAGGCCTATTATTATCAACAACTTGCTAGTAACTAACTTGCTTCATTTATCTAACTTGCTTGCTTTTAGTTTTTATTTCTTACAGGTTTCTCTCTCAATGCAATAATCTTTTCTGTTCTCTACCTAAGATTACCCGTCTTATTAATGCAGATATATTTCCCTGACTTGGAAGCAACACAAAGATGTTCTAGAATACTTTCATTGCTCACATTGCTAAGTCCAATTCTGTTTCTGCAATAAGAACAGCTGGGGGTATTGTTGGTGTTGCTATCATCAAACTAATATGGAACAGCTTAAAAAAGTGCTGGCAGTAAAAGCATCCATAATTCACTAGATTACTAGACCCATAGATTTATCCATTTTTCAAAACCCAATCTCCTGATAGTAGAGGAAAGGAAGCAAGCAAGCAAGCAAAGAGCTTGGAAGCCTCTCTGACTCTCTTTAGGACCCAGCTTCTGCTGTGGCTCTTTGCTGGACATTTCTGCTCTTAAGGCTTTTCTTCAGCTTCCCAAGGCAGCAGAAAGATTTTCTTTGCTTGCTTACTTCCTTTACTCTTCAGTCTGGAGTCAAGGTTTTTAAAAAGGACAGAGATTGAGGGCAGAGGTGGAGAGTTTAGTTTTAGCACCTAAAGGGGAGAGGAAGAAAGATCAACAAGTCTGACCCTCCCAACTTTTTTTGTTTTTTGTTTTATTGAACAAATGTGGCTTTCTGGGGGAGGGAAGAGGCTGTTAAAGCAAAGGAAAGGTTTTGGCATGTTTGTCCTGAAGCTGCCACCTTTGCATACAGGGACTGGCTTCCCAAAGGGTAGCAAGAGTCAGGAGGGAGTTTGGAGTCTCCAGACAGTCAGCTGATTGGAGAAGAAAGTTTTGAAAGCAGCCACAAGAAACTGTCAAGAGCACTGAAAATGGTAGCCCCTTCATTCAAAACAGTTCAGGTGAAGAAGATGATTTCAAAATAAATATTTCAAAATATACATTTCTAAATTTAGCACCTAGTTTTTATCCATGTAGTTTTATTACATTAAAATCTATAAAAAAGGTAATACATACATTTTTGTTGCACAGCAGTGTGCAGCTGTCAGTACTGTGCAGTTATTAATTAAAGTTCCACCACATAAATGGATAAATCCTCCGCCATGCTTATATACTTGAAGGCTAACTTGCCATGGCCATGCCCCTTCCTCAGATTCATGCCCACCTACAATCCGACTCCCTGGTGTGCCTATAGCAGGCCTTGTTCCACACTCTAGAAATGAAATCCCAATAGTTAGATACCATGTGAGTTTATAAATGCAAACGTTAGGGTTTCTCTGAATAGTCAGACTTCTCAGTTGGCATTTTTTTCTCATAAATTCATACAGTACACACACCCACAGGCATACACAGTTAAAAAGAATCAGGAAGTTGATTTAAATAAATATTTTTAGTCTATTTCTGAAAATCATTATATATAATAACTTGCTGCAGGGGCTACAGCAATGGCAACCCTATTGGCTTGGCCCTCCACAACAGTCTCAGTTTTGCATGTGGCCCCTTAGAAAATTAATTGCTCACCCCCATATTAAAGGTATCATCATAGAACAGTGGTGGTGAAGCTATGGCACGCATGCCAGAGGCGGCACTCGGAGCCCTCTCTGTGGTTATGCGCACCGTCGCCCCAGCCCAGGCTCCCCCAGCAGCCCCCTCCTCACCAGCAGCCCTCCCCAGAGGAGAGTTGCCCCTGGGTGCGGCCCATGCAGAGCAGCGCAGCCAAGGACATGACTCCGCCCTCGCACCCCGTCGCGTGCAGATGATGCTGCAGGGCGCAGGTGGAGGGCGTGGCTGCCATGGTGCTGCAGGGCCGCCTGGGTGAGCAACAAAGGGTCTGGAGGCTAAATTGTACAATGAATAGTTGGGGGAGTTAGGCTTATCTAGCCTATTGAAGAGGAGGATTAGGGGGGACATGATAGCTGTCTTCCAGTACTTGACAGGCTGTCACAAAGAAGAGGGAATTGACTTATTCTATAGTGCACCAGAGGACAGGACAAGAAGTAATGAGTGGAAGCCTGTCAAAGAGAGATCCAACCTAGAAATAAAGAGGAAAACATTTCTGATAGTGAGAGGAATTAATCAGTGGAATAGCTTGCCTCCTGGAGTTGTGGATGCTTTTTCACTGGAGATTTTCAAGAATAGATCAGGCAACCATTTGACTGGGGTGGTGTAATGCTTGTGCCTTCAGCTGGGGGTTGAACTAGAAGACTCTGAACTCACTTCCAGCCCTATGATTCTATGAAGGTCCAACTTAAGCTAAAAAAGAAAGCCAGCTAGTTTCCACAATATGTTCCTGAACGTATATCCACTTCAGACGAATCAGCCGGCTATTTGGGTTTGCCTTCCGCTCAGGCTGCTGTTGGGGCCTGCGGGCGTAGTTAGCCCGGCTCGCTCGCCTACCTCGCCCCGAAATGTCACGAGCCGAACCTGTCCGGGCTAAGCGCCCGCCCAACCCACTACTGAAGGCGGGAGAAGGACATCTCACCTTGTTCATCCTGCGCAAAGGACGAGGCCACGCAGAACAGTGCCAGAGAAAAAAGAGAAACGACCGCGAGTGGGGAACTCCGGTTAATCATCCTGGCAAGGAAGAAAAGCGGCCTCTTTTCCCGCTCGCCGTCCTCAGCGGAGGAGGCTGGAAGGAGCTAGCGAGGCGGTTGAAGCGGGCCAAGGAAAAGGGCTTCGCGCGCCCTCCCGCAACAGCTGCTTGGAACTCGGCCTCCAACAGGCTTCGCCGACACGTGAAATGTCTGGGTTTTGGACCAGGGGAACACAAAGGGAGAGAAGTTTTGATCCGCTTCCCTGCAGTTATTTACCGTTGTCGTTATACACTTCTAATCCGCGTGAAGTAATCGATTTATACGCCGTTTATATTCCTGTATTTTTAATAAGGAATATAAACGGCGTATAAATCGATTACTTCACGCGGATTAGAAGCGTATAACGACAACGGTAAATAACCGCAGGGAAGCGGATATATATGAAGGGTAAATAAATAAATGTATTTATAGCCTAGACCCATATTTGGTCTTTAATTTAAACTTGAGGCAATGTACATACAGTAGTGCTCCGTCCTCCCATTTTTCTCACCACAACCCTGCACAGCAACCTTTGGTTGGGCTGAGGGTAAATAATGGCCCCAAACTACACCCACTGAATTTCTGTGGCTCAGGGTGACCCTGGAAACTGGGTCTCCAGGTGCCAGTATGAGACCTTAACCACAACATCGCACTCATTCACTCTTCTGGGCAACTGAATACACCCATTAAATTATTCTGAATAAATCTGCATATTACTTGACTGAAGGCTGGGTTTGAGGAGAATGTAAAGATGCTTTTATACCAAGATCAATTACTAGTTATCGCCACACGGAGATGCCATATTTCGACAATGCAAGTAGCGCCAGGCTGTAGTATCCTCAGTAAGATGGCAGCAACTTACTGTTTGTTTGTTTTTTTGTAGTCCAGAAATGGTAGCCCCAGATTTTAAAAAAAGAAAGAAGATAGAATGTCTTCTTAAAGAGTTCTATAAGGACAACACTTTTCTTTTCCAAATATTTTAATCTTGGCAATCCTATGGGGACACTGAAAGAAGGCCTTGGAAAATCATGTCTGAAAAATCTTGCCAAGAAATTGCAGAGAATTTCTTGGCAGTTGCTAGGAATCAACATAGACTGGAAGGCACAAAAATATAAAAATGCTGACATCTTGACCTGCTGAAGAAGAGAAAATAGGGTCCACATACTACCTGCCAGACATAAAACATAACTATATCTACCACATTTTCCTGCTCGTCATATCTTCTATCTTTCAGTCAGAATTCTGCCACCTTGGAAAACACCAGGCCCACTTAACCATCTAATTTATCTGTAATTTTTGCATTCACTTTCAATCATAACAGAAATTATGATTTAATTTAAACTTGAGATTGTATTAAATAGAAAGCGAAGACCATTAGTTTTACATTGGTTTGTACATAATAATATAGTTTCCCCATTTGCATTTAAGTACGGGACAAATATGCTCCTGAGTTCTCTTTTTTCTGCCATATTCTTATGTCATTGCCTTTATTTTGTTTTTAATCTATAATTGAGCAAATACTATATTATATTCGGCTGTTCTAAGTTAAGGGGTATTTTTCCCCCTTAGGCCAATTGTGATCATTGTCAGCTTCAAAATGTGAAAAATATGAGGGGTTGTTGCCAGTGGTGGGATTCAGCCGGTTCGCACCACTTCGGCAGAACTGGTAGCTAATTTTTTGTTGCCCAGGCCCAGAATGGACTTCCGGAAGTGGCATCCACACAGAGAACCGGTTGTTCACATATTTGAATCCCACCACTCGTTGTTGCCAATGGTACATTTCATCTTCAATCCAACAGTGGTCGTTTTATGCTGATTTTAGCATGTCTTCCTTCCAAATTTTAGGCCTTGTCCTTCAGGGTCTTTCTATTTTGGAGAATCAGAAACCTCAGCTATTTAACACTGGGCTCTTCAGCTCTGTCTATGGCAGTGGTTCTCAACCTTTTTAATGCCGCAACCCCAACCGGTCGTAAGTTGAGGACTAAACCGGTCATAAGTCGAGGACTAAACCGGTCGTAAGTCGAGGACTACCCAACCGGTCGTAAGTCGAGGACTTTCCCTGCCCGGGAGCGCCACGCATGCGTGGTTCCGCCCCCTGTGCCGGCCGAGGCGTAGCTGGCAAGGGGCAGAGACAGAGCAGGCCGACCACCAGCTGGCCCAGCTCAAGGGATGTAAGGCACCCGCCGGAAAAGGGGAAAAAAATGGCGGACAGCCTTGCTTGGCAACCCCCATGAAATGGTCGATCGACCCCAAATGGGGTTGCGACCCATAGGTTGAGAACCGCTGTTCTATTGCCCTCAATCTTTCCCAGCATTAGGCCCTTCTCCAGTGAGTCCTTCCTTCTCATTAGGTGGCCAAAGTATTTGAGTTTCAACTTCAGGATCCAGCCTTCTAAAGAGCAGCCGGGTTGATCTCTTCTAGGACTGACTGGTTTGAACACCTTGCAGTCCAAGGGACTCGCAGGAGTCTTCTCCAGCACCATAGTTCAAAGGCCTCAGTTCTTTGTCACTCAGCCTTTCTTATGGTCCAACTTTCACATCCATACATTGCAACTGCGAAAACCATGGCCTTGACTATACGCACTTTGTTGGCAGGGTGATGTCTCTGCTTTTTAGTATGCTGTCTAGATTTGCCATAGCTTTCCTCCCCAGGAGCAAGCGTCTTTTAATTTCTTGGCTGCAGTCCCCATCTGAGGTGATCTTGGAGCCCAGGAAAATAAAATCTGTCACTACCTCCATTTCTTCCCCATCTCTTTGCCAGGAATTGAGAGGGCTGGATGCCATGATTTTGGTTTTCTTAATGTTGAGTTTCAAGCCAACTTTTGCACTCTCCTTCTTCACCCGCATCAAGAGGCTCTTTAGTTCCTCTTCACTTTCTGCCATTAGAGTGGTATCATCTGCATATCTTAGGTTGTTGATATTTCTCCCGGCAATCTTAATTCCAACTTTTGANTTCCTCTGCCTCTTCGAAATCCTGCCTGTACTTCTGGTAGTTCTCGATCCACATACTGCTGGAGTCTAGCTTGTAGGATTTTAAGCATAACTTTACTAGCATGTGAAATGAGTGCAATGGTGCGATAGTTTGAACATTCTTTGGCATTGCCTTTCTTTGGAATTGGAATGTAAACTGACCTTTTCCAATCCTGTGGCCAGTGTTGAGTTTTCCAAATTTGCTGGCAAATTGAGTGTAGCACTTTTACTGCGTCATCTTTTAAGATTTTGAATAGTTCAGCTGGAATACTGTCACCTCCACTAGCTTTGTTGTTGCTCAGCTTTTCTAAGGCCCATTTCACTTCACATTCTAGGATGTCTGGCTCTAGGTCAGTGACCACCCCATCGTGGTTATCTGGGACGTTAAGCTTGTTCTTGTATAGTTCTTCTGTGTATTTTGCCACCTCTTCTTAATCTCTTCTGCCTCTGTTAGGTCCCTGCCATTTTGGTCCTTTATTATGCCCATCTTTGCATGAAACGTTCCCTTCATATCTCCAATTTTCTTGAAGAGATCTCTGGTCCTCCCTATTCTATTGTTTTCTTCTATTTCTTTGCACTGTTCATTTAAGAAGGTATTCCTATATCTTCTAGCTATTCTCTGGAATTCTGCATTCAATTGGGTGTATCTTTCTCTTTCTCCTTTGCCTTTCGCTTCCCTTCTTTCCTCAGCTATTTGCAAAGCTTCCTCAGACAGCCATTTTGTTTTCTTGCATTTCTTTTTCTTTGGAATGGTTTTAGTTGCTACCTCTTGTACAATGTTGTGAACCTCCGTCCATAGTTCTTCAGGCACTCTGTCTATCAGATCTAATTCCTTAAATCTATTTGTCACCTCTACTGTATATTTATCAGGAATATGATTTAGTTCATACCTGGGTGGCCTAGGGCTTTCCCCCACTTTCTACAATTTAAGCCTAAATTTTGCAACGAGAAGCTCATGATCTGAGCCACAGTCAGCTCCTGGTCTTGTTTTTACTGACTGTATAGAGCTTCTCCATCTTTGGCTGCAGAGCACATAGTCAATCTGATTTCTGTGTTGACCGTCTGGTGATGTCCATGTGTAGAGCCGTCTCTTGGGTTGTTGGAAAAGAATGTTTGTTATGACCATCATATTCTCTTGACAAAATTCTATCAGCCTGTGCCCTGCTTCATTTTGTAGTCTAAGGCCAAACTTGCCTGTTATTCCAGTTATCTTTTGGCTTCCTACTTTAGCATTCCAATCCCCCATGATGATAAGGACATCATTTTTTGGTGTTAATTCTATAAGGTGCTGTAGGGCTTCATAGAACCAGTCAATTTCATCCTCTTCAGCACCAGTGGTTGGGGCATAGATTTGGACTACTCTGATATTGAATGGTTTGCCTTGGATTCGAACTGAGATCATTCTGTCATTTTGGAGATTGTATCCCAGTATTGCTTTTCCTACTCTTTTATTGACTATGAAGGCTACTCCATTTCTTCTGAGGGATTCTTGCCCGCAGTAGTATACCTGATGGTCATCTGAGTTAAATTCACCCATTCCTGTCCATTTTAGTTCGCTGATTCCTAAGATGTCGACGTTCAGTCTTGTCATCTCTTGTTTGACTACGTCTAGCTTGCCTTGATTTATGGATCTTACATTCCAGGTTCCTATGGAGAAAAGATCTTTACAGCATCGGACTTTCCTTTCACCACCAGATGCATTTACAGCTGAGCGTCCTTTCGGCTTTGGCCCAGTCGCTTCATTCTTTCTGGCGCTACTAGTACTAGCCCTCTGCTCTTCCCCAGTAGCATATTAGTGATAGCTTTTATATATTTTATAGCTCATAAATGGTACATAACAGTGGTGCTTATATTTAAACTATCAATTAAATACATGTTAAATTCTTTCTAGGTATGTGTGCATAAGTAGCAGATTAGAATATAAGATTAGAAGACTAGGTTTATTATATTGAATTACCACATAAATCAATTAGTTCCATTCTGAGAATTTTCTGGAAAATATATGTGTGCAAGGGAAAGAAAAAAACTTAAAACATAATCATCTGTCACCCTATTCCAATAAAATTTGAATTTTATACAAGATGGAAAGTTATCCATCCAGCAGTTCCCAAAATTAAGACAAGCCGAAGGCTTACAATATTTGTTTTGTTAGATAAATATGAATATATCCATTTTTTGTAACTTGCAGCACGCACATAGAGTCCTGGAAATTTTGGTCTGCCACAGCCAACACCAGAACTGGTGATTCCTATTAAATAATATTTGCTGGCATCTGGGAAATAGCATGCCAGAGGACCACCACTGTCTCCCTACAATGTGAAAAAGAAAGATAAGACAAATTAGGTATTGCTATTTTGAAGCATATAATAGCATATTTCCTATTAGTCTGAGTTATGTTTGCCATAACATATCAAATGAAAATAATGATCATTTGAAAATATAAATTTGGATATCCTGCAGGAGAAATATTTGTTTTTGTTGGATCACAAGATTTAAAATTAAATTACTTTAAATATACATACACTGATACCTTGTTTGGGTAATTTGCAGATTACTTATTCATAAGATGCATTTCATTTATGACATCAAGGCAGAATATATAGCAGTCTCTCCTATTTTTCCCACAACAGCCTTCTGAATTAGATTGTACAAGTACTGAGTAGAATAAAGTGGCCCAATGAGCTTCCATGGCTGAGGGCAATGTAGAACTTGGGTCTTCCTAGTGTCAGCCCAATTTCTTAGTGACTACACCACACTGAAATTGCACTATAAACTCAGCATGTTAGGGGCTTATCTACCATCAAACATTTTTGTACGCAGGTATTGAGAATCATTCTATATTTCCAAGTGATCTACTGTGAAAACAGGTGAAGTTATCTGAATCAGGAAAAAATCTGCTATTATTACTATTATTTATTAATTTTTTATGCCATGCATCTCCCTATAACGTGACTCTGGGTGACTTACAAATTATAAAACTAAATAATTAAAATATTGAAACATTAAAACCACAAATTAAGATTTTAAAAACTATACTGAAACCAGAACTAAGAAACGAATGGGACACCCTACTACTATCCCATAGCCACTGCTAAGGTCTTCACTGAAAGACTGTGAAACAGTCATGATTTATTTTTCTTTATATTCATGTTCATATGCATAAATTAAAAATATGTCCTGCAACTTTCTATAAGAACTTTACCTTTCTTGTAACAACTTTTTGCTTTCACAATTTTTTTTTAAAACGAGTGATTATTTTTTCTCTTTTGTAATGTGCCTAAGGCATTATCAGTCATTTTTGTAACTACCATTATTTAATGATTTTAGAAAAAGCAAAATGTCCTTTGAATTTTACTATAAAAATTCAAATAACCATTTTATGACACAGACTGTCATCAACTATTTTTTCCTTCCCAAACTGATTGTATTCCTATTATTTGGGCATATTATTGTGCATCTACTCATTAAAAATTGATCAAGTAACAGCTGTAGAAGATAGTTTCACAATATTTTTAAAATGAAATGATCAACAATTTACCTGGCAACTATCAACATGTCCACTTTCAGAGCCAGCACAAATCATTTTCAGGGATACTGTGCCTGCATACCAATCATAGCTATTACAGATTTGCAATGGAATAATGTCAACCTGAGCTTCTTGTAATATATATTTACCTTTACCTGTAATGAAAGCATAAAATAAAGCTGGAAGATTATTTTTGTTTCTAATATAGGGATAGGGTAGGGAATCCAGTAGAAAAAACTGATGGAATTTTGAAGGTTTTTGGACTCTAAGTCAAATTTCCTACCCCATATACTTCATACTGTATCTATAGTCATTGACAATCTTTGCAAATTTTATATAACAAATCCATATTATTTGTTTGACTGCTATATTTCAGTCTATTCATTTTCATCTTTTCATTATTGCAACTTTGAGTGTCATATTAAGGTCAAATATCATTATGGAGAATTGTAAAATTTATGTTCTCTGTACAATAAGCTATCGTCTCACGTAGCATTACACCATCATGTTAAGCATAAAATTCACATTTTGAGTAATTTTTTGTTTTAGACCACAATATTGCATTTGAAATTATACTGTAGTATGTTTTCAATTTTCATTGATCATTTACTGATGGTAGTATTCCATGAATCCTGGCTACAATGTCTAATAGTAATGGACTAGCCTGCATCCTATGCTATTGGCAATATACAAATAGCATAGGATGTATGGCAGACATGCCAGTGGCCTGTCTAAGAGTAACATTGTGATGATGAAAAAATGCTGGGAATCATAATGCAACAACATCTGGAGGCTTATCACTGCCTTGAGGAATTATAAATTCTGGATTTCCAGATGTTGTAGTACTGATTCCCAGCATCTCACACTATTACCATATTGTCCAAGGCAGTGAGAGCTGTCACTTAGCAACATATAGAAGCCAGAGGTTTTGCACCTTTAAAAATCTAGATTTCCCATTTATTGCAGTAAAATATTGTTCTGTCCTGTCTATTCAGGTTTTGTCAATAATGCATGTAAGAACAAGAGAAGAAAAAATATACTACTATTACATCCAGACAAAATTGGATTTATTTGATAATAACATCACTTATATTTCTGATTTTAAAAGTTCAATATCCAGGGGAAAAAGTAATTTAAAAAAATGAATCCATTCCATTGTTTGTGGATACATATCTAGAAAGTTTGGTGAAAAGATGATTAAAAATGTACTATCACTATGGCTAGTAAGTTTTTACTGAGTACATTTACTAGCAGCCTTGATTTTATTTAATTTGTGAATAAGACTACAGCCTAAAATCACTAAAATCGTGATCTTAATATTAAAGTAATAAGAATAGATTTACCTTTTTCCTTTGTGCTTCCCCACCCGCTTATATAACATGGATTCTTAGATTTATCACTCAGAAAGAGAGCAGAGTCAGGTAAGCAAATAGGCTGGACGTAATCATTGTACTTGACAAATTGCGTCAATCTGAACAAGGCAACATCATTTTCAAAAGTTCCAAATTCATAATCAGAGTGGATTATGATATCTTTGATACGATATTCTTTAGAAAAAGGCCAATGTATGTAAAGATGATGCAAACCAACTACAGCTCTCCACTTGTCTGGTGTCCTAGGGGAAAAAATCAAAGGTCCATAAGAGTCAATATACTTGTTACATCAGAAATACTGATAACAAACAAGAGTCAAAATAATTCAGTAATTTCACTTCAGTTCAAGAATTTTCAGATTGTAATTCTGAAATCAAGGCCAATCTTCGCCAAAAGCAGTCTTATTTGTGTCATTCAAATGAAGGCAGTTGTCTTGAAAATTCTGTTCTAAATTAAGAAAAGCATTCCTATTAGAAACTGGAAGCCTTTGCAGAGTGAGGACTAATGCGAAGAACTACAGAAATAATTTTGCCTGCTAGTAAGAGGTTTCAGAATTAATACTCATCAAAGTATGTTATTGGCAAAATGTAAGCTTATGAGAGCCCAGGAAAGCTTCTTCTACAGAACTTTAATACCAGTATTGACTAATAAGCACAAAGTACCAAATCCAGCTACTTTTTCTTGAAGCTAGATGCTTTGCCCTACCCTTCTTTGCCTTTACTTCTTCCATTCTTTGGTCAAATTGTCAGGATCTTGGCTCTCGCTGCCAATCCTCAAACCTGTAATTCCCTTAATTACTTTGATTATTTTGCCACTACTATCATTCTTTCCTGCAGTTGCTTTGGTCTTCCTAGGTTCCTAGATGTTTTCCCTACTTTCCTCTCCCTGGGCTCTTCTTTCCTCCATACTTACTTTTACCACTGCTCTTCAGTCTTCCACATCTGGACACTGACTTACAAAAATCCAAAGGGAGACATATATTGGCCCCCAAGGATGCAAAAGCTGCACACAAGTAGTCTGTATTGCCTTTCCTGAAGATAGCTGATTTTGTGATCTGTAGGATTTGTTCTGAACTGAAAAAGGCTGATGATAAATTATCTCATAGGATAATTTATAGTACCATTCCCTATCCTGATTTGACAATTCAAAAGGGAATGGATTCATAAACACCTGAAACTTACCATAATTCCCCCTCGTCCCAAACATAGATGTTGAGTGATTTCTGGTTTGGAAAAGACATAAAACTCAACAATAAAATGTATTTTTAGCTGCAACAAGAAAGCATGGGCAATGTCTCTTTATGGAATTTGCCAAGTTAGCTGATAAAAGCTTTGAAGATTCCTCTTGAATGTCAGAGATTGATGCAAAACAGTAAGTAACTGGACTTGATTAACACACTTATATCAATTGCAGTTATCCTGGCATTTGTTATATATATATATTTGGTACTTGACCTACAAACACTAAAACCTACAATAAATGCTTTTTAAGGTTTTTTTGTACATATTAAGCTCAATTTGTGCATTAAAGTATCAGAATATCTCCTGCCCCTATAAGCAAAAGATATGTGGAAGAAGGAAATAGTATAGGAAGGAGATTCATAAATACATAATTGGCAATCAATGTTATTTATAATGAAAGCACTCTTACAGTTAAATCAGTCCCTTCCTTTAGGTACTTCCCACAAGTATAACGCTACACATTTCTATGACACTCTCTAATGTAATTATATATATCACACAATTTGGTACCTTTCTGTAATACATAAATAGGTTTCTCCTTCTCTTTTGATTTTTCCTCTCACTTTATTTCCATCCAGCTTGGCTATTCCTTCCCCTTACAGATTCCATATTGGGGCTGCAAAATTCCAGATTACCTTAAGGCAGCTTCCACATAGTGGTTATCATGTCTTGCAGAGGAGAAATGGTAGCCCTTCCTATCCTATCCTTACCCAATGAAACATCTCATTTTGTTTTTTGCCATTTCGGGTGGGGGGTTTACTTGTGTAGGGAGAGAATGGTTGGTATAGATAGATACAATTTTTAAAGTGGGGAATTTTCTATAGAAATGACTTATTTTACAGGAAACAATTAAAATGTTGTTTGTTGTCCTGGTTTCTATTTTTTTTCCTTTCAAATATGACAGGTATATATATACACAGGTATATATGTACTCATGTGTACCAATTAATGGGAGGAGAAAGTCTGTTTTCATTTCCTTTTCCCAAAACATTCTTTCTTTCTTTGGAGGATTGTCTGTTGCTACATAATCCAGGTTTCAAAATGTGTGTATGCGTATGTGTGTATATACACACCTTAACCAGAGCTGTGGTAGGGTACTGGTTAGAATGCAGTATTTTATTTATTTATTTATTTATTAATTGCATTTATATCCCGCCCTTCTCCTTACGGACTCAGGGTGGCTGACAATTGAATAAAATACTAACATATATACATATTATACCTAATTAAAATTTAATTAAAACGAAATATTTAAATATGTCCAATTAAAAGTAATTAAAACCCCTTTAAAATCCCTCAGGCCAGTCCCGCTAGCTGGAACAACCACGTCTTGAGGGCGCGGCGGAAGGAAGGGAGATCAGGGATCACCCTGATCTCT